ATTGAAGGAGAACATATCCACCAATAATTGAATGTATCTAGTAAAAAAAATCGACAATATATTTGAAATTATTAAGATAATTGACAATAAAAAATTTGCGGACTAAAAAAATTAAATATTTCGTATCAAAATAAATAAATTGAAAATTAAATTACAGAATTTCAGTTGCTGGAACAATCGATATGGTGTACTTAATATATTTATATAAAATTTCGATTAAGTATTTCTTTTTAAACTTATGTGTTAGTATATTAATATTTTTCAATCCTCACCTAAACGAAGCCTAAAACAAAGTTTGATGGCTTGATTTCTTTTGTAATTTGCAATTAATTATTAATCTGAAATAATAAAAAACTGATCATACCTTCCTATTAATTCAATTACGAAGACATTTATTTTACAAGAACAGAAATTATACACAAACGCAAATAAATATACGCGCGTATCTATATAATAAAATGAATAAGAAATATTGTATATCTAATAGGGGCTCAATACTTGGATCCAACTGATTGTACTTTTTGTAGTTTGCATTCTGCCCGCATTTAATTTTCATCTCCATCGATACAAGTCCTCGAACTCTACGCGATTCGTCTATGCATTTGATCATGGCACTTTACGATGTCCTCGAGGGATAAGTATAGTAATCGAGTGACCGTACGCGATAAAAGGATAACGTGCCATATACGTTTCGAACGTGCTTTGCATCGAATTTGTTAATTAGCAAGCACTTTGCGAGCCCGCAGAGAACTTGGTCATCGTGTCAGTTGGTGCGCGCGCATTTTAGCTACTCGTCAAGTACTCTCCTCGTTGAAGAGTATATTTTGTCGTATAACAGTAGAGGGAATATCTAAACTTCTGTAAAAAAGAATATATCTCTTGAAATATGAATTTTCTTGCGCGCATCTTGCTGAGCTACGAAATACATTCGTATAAAATGCAATTTAACAAAGGAAAAAAATTAAATAACTGCTTCACAAGTGAACTGTAAATCCTTTGATCAATTTTACGTTGATTTTGTTCTTAATGAGAATTTATTTTAACGCCGCTCTCTTTCTCTTTTATTAAAACTACGTCGAAATGAAATTAAAACCATAAAAAATTTTAATTACGTGTATAAAATAGAGAACATTTCGTTTTCTGTTTGTCAGCTTTTTTTTTTTAATTTGCCATTGATTATTTTTTGTAATAGAAAACCAAATTTACGAAAACTCTGTGCGAAAAACGTGTAAGGTTAAAATATTACGTATTTTTCGACGAATAATAACGATATGTTCGCTGATGTACAATGAGAATTTAGAAAACAGCTTGAGGATCGTACGAAGTATACATTGTGTAAAGCACGAGCGATGAGCTACAAAAAGATGGAGCTGCAACGCTGCTGTTACACGAGAGCGCATCGGATTTCTTGCCTGGCGACGAGTAACGACGCGGATGCAAAAGCGCGTCACGGAAATCGATGGACGCCAGTCCGAGCGCGTCGTTTTTCTCATCCGTGGACGGCCGACAGATATTAATTCCCAGCAGCTGTCTTCTCCCGGCAATCCTGGTTCTTTTCCTTTCTAGAAACCGCAGGACTTGTTTTGACCTATTCTGACCTGCTGTTAATTAATTTCGCAAGGGACGCGAAAGATCCTCGCTCACGGGAGTGTCGTTGAAGAAATATGCGGTCAATTCTTTTGACAGCTCTTGTATTATTGTGTCAACGTAGTCGGCACGCCGCGCCGCCCGAGGGTAAAGGCCGATTATAAAGTCGCAACATTGACAACGTATCCGTAATGGTAGAGGGCGATTGACGCGTTTTAATTTACTTCGATCAACGCGGCTCGATAAAACCGTCAAGGCGTCACCCGCGCAAAATGGATGGCGGGCGCAAATACCGAAAAAAGAGAATGGACCGCGGGGACAGGGGAGAACTAACGAATTGACAGCTACGATCAGCTCTCGCGGTGGACGATGACATACGACTCTCAAATGAGCTTACCGTGACTTGCACGTGAGATTCCATTTGTGAAGATCTACGCGAAGAGCAAAATATTTCTAAGCAAATTTAAAAAAAAAAAAAGCAGAAAGGAGCAAATCTCGGAGTAAGAGTACTATAGTTGTAATGCAATAACTTTTTTATTAGTTAATTAACTTTACTAATATGAAGAATAATGTTTTAGATCTTTACTTTTTTTTTTGCTTTGTCAGTTCTTACACGTAACAAATTGAAATCAAAATTGTTCTACATAGTGAGATTAAAACAAATAATAAATTAATAATTATAACAAGAGATCATATAAAATTTTAACACACTTATAATATGTACGAAATATTTCAAAATTATATTATAGATTCATTATATTTGAAAGCAAAATGGATATCGTATGATAACACACGAAAATACATCACGAATAATTAAGGATGTTTTGTACAATATCAGCTAAAAGTATCAGCCAAAAAATCAATTAAAACAAGTCAATATCAATCAATGTCAACTAAAAAAAAATTCGGTCGTATATACGCTCTGCAATCAATTGTAAAAAATAAAAGAACAAATAATTTGGTTTACCATGGTTTACGTAGCGCCATATTTTGCTACAATTTTAGATAAATAAACTTAAGTAAGTGAATTCATATAGATTTTTGCACAAATATTTATCAGTTTTATTAATATAGACACATATACAAAATTTGATTTAATTCGTAATGCTATTTTCTCAATAAATTTGCAAATAAGTACTACAAACGTGATTTTATGTAAAAATCAAAGTAAACAAAAAAATTAAATAACTTTTTTAACTAATAAGAGAATTGTGCTCAAATTTGATACAATCACCCAGACTTAATGATAGAATAATCTATAAATTTATATATTTTTGGTAATGCTATGACATATACGTCCTTAATCCTCTAAAGTTGACGGAGAACGTTGAATTCGTTTAATTATGTACTTTATGTTACATCTGCAAATTTGAATTATTATTATTATTAAAATAAATTTAGTTATTAAAATATTAAATTGATTCATGTATATTTTTTTATACGAGTTATATCATTATGGTTCTTGAAATTAATTAGTGAATTACTTTTAGTCGACATAAATTAAATGAGTCTTACAGATTCAGCATCAATAACTGTGTGACAGATTTTGGCATTAGCTGCAGAGGATTAATTCGTATCTTTTAATATTTTTCTAGTATAATTTTCACACAATGTATGCAAAGTGGGATTGATTATATAAATGAAAAAGAGAGCAACGTCTAGATTATAAAAACACATGTTGATAAAAGTTATCTTGCTTGAGAAAGAAACGGTGAGAAATAAAGATTCCGCCAGCTATAACGAAGTCAAAATGCCGATTTATCAAAGTATGCTGAATACGGCGTCGTTCTTCTGCGTTGTCGGTTTAATTCAAACTTATTCAATTAAAGCCGATCGGAGTTAGCACGAGGGAATCTCTAAGTCGCATCGAGAAGGCAATAACTCTATATCTGTCGTCTTTATCTTCTTTTCTTTCATCGACTTTTGTTTTTGGCAATAACAACTAGGAACGTACTTTGGCTCCTTCCATGCTTTTGTCTATTTCCTGACTTCTCTGAAGGCGTCTTTTCGGCGGTCGTCCTTCTCTCCTCTCCCTCACAATCTTATTATTTCTCGCAAACTTTGTAGATCGACATCTGGGTATCTACTGTTACAACCGGACTTTTCCATCTCGTGGAATTTTTATGACTTGCAAAGAGTTATATCTGAAATGGGGATTGTCAATCACCGAGAGATAACAGATCTCTTGAATTACTTCATATGTTTGTAACATTTTTCGATAATATATATAAAAATAATAATAATAGATACGATATCTAAAAAATTATAAATAATAATAAATATATATCTACATAATGTAAAAAATATTTATACTCCAATTATATTACCATATAAGGTTTTATTAATATTTTTTCAATTTTATAAATAGAGTATAGTGAATTTTCAATCGATCTCGATATTTCAATCAATTTAATATCTAATTAAAAAAACAATAGGAACAGAAACGCGTCATCTTTATCTTTCCATCAAACTTGGTAAATTTTAGCAGTCATTTTCATGTTCTTGCGAGCAACAGTATAAAACTAGTATTTATTCGTGCTCCAAAACTAAAATTCGACTTCATATTTTGATACGAAAATTAGACGGTCCAGTTTCTTAAGAATTTTAGAAAGCTATATGTTTTTACTTTTTCTCCTGTCTTTTCCTGTCAGCGGATTTACGTAAGAAAGAAACGAGTACAGGGCGAATGTTTGTTTACTCCGATACGGTTCTTGTTAAAATAACTTTATAGAACAGAATCAGCAACAACGAGTTTTCTCTTCCACACAACGCCTCTCGAATATTCCATGATTTTCAATTCTTCTTTTCATACGGGAGAGCACTTTCGTTTCAGCTGCAGGGCGCCACACCCGTTTACGATATCGTCATATGAGATCTTCGAGGGGATTAAAGTGCTTCTTGTAATATCATAGATAATGTGTATGTATAATATACTTGTCAGCTGGAAATTCTCGATCGCTCATAGTGCTACATAAGCGAAAAATGGAGAGCGTTTCAGAGAACTGTTATTCGCTGTTCTAACATGTTAATATGAACAAACGGCGCGCCAGAATATTGCAGATTTTAATACCGCAATACAACACAACAGCGTTATTTTTTACGAGAGAGAAACTATCGATTTTGTACGCATTAAAAATTTAGAAGGGATGGATTGGAAAATTCGGAGTAATATATTCTGTATTTCTCAACCTTCATGTGATTCAATTTTAAGCGGATAGAAACCTTTCATGAAAAATATAAACGCATAAAGGATATCCGCTTCTTTCAAATGTTCCCGTATACGAAGCCTCCCCGAAGATCCGGCTAAACTTTCACGGTTTCTGTACGTCAGAATTGATACCATTCGTAGTGAACCGATAATATTCGTCGATTTAATACTCTGACATTCGCTCTGTGTAGAAACTCAATTGTACCTAACAGGGGTATTGCGTCGGAGACCTGGGGCAAAGTTTCGGCGACGAGGTTCAGGAACACCGTCAGCGATAGCAAGATGGTCACTCCTGAAACAGTCGTAGCCCACCTGTGCTCAATGATCCGTACTCGTTCGTCGCATCCGTTCGTGGACGGCGTCGACGACCGCACCCTCCTCAAGGAAGACACGGTCGCCGATTGACGACCGCTCGTCCTTTCTCCCTGTCGATCGTGTCGGCGATCGTCGACGAAGAGAAATCGACCGAGGCTGAACCGTATCGAGCCAACAGTTTCCACCGGTGAGAACGAGGATTTATCTTTGCAAACGCGATTCGAGCGCAATGGAAATCGTGCGCGGGCATGGAGAAAAAAGATAAAAAAAAAACAAAAGGAGGATATTTTTCGACCTGTGGCAGTCGATCGTAAGCCGGGGAAAGTTTCGCAACTGCGCCTCGTCTCAGTGGAATTGTCGACGGAAATCTCGCGGGAGCAGTACCTCCTTGCCGTTTTATCGGCGATGTTTTCTCGATAATCTCGGAACAAACCGACCACTCTGCTGTCCCGAAGGGTTCAGCTCCGTCCGAAATTCGTTCTGCCTCGCTTTGCTCGACCTCGAGTACGAGTTGAGATCGAGCTACGGGTATCTCGTTAAAGATAAACAGTCCACGGTGTGTACTTACAAGCTTACAAGCTTACAATGCAAATTCACGTATACGCATACGAAAGAACGAATTGCAATGACGTGGCGTTGGCATTTAAATGCTAATTGGTTACTTTCGAGCCAGCTCGAGAACACACACGATACATTTTCAGTTGCGTCAACTAAGTCTAATTAGTGTTCATATCTTGTAAAATTATAACTTTAGATATAATAGAGTTAAGAAAATTAATTCATTAAGAAGATGATTTAATTATACATATATGGAACCGTAACACGACCAAACAACTATATTAAATAAAATGAATATGCTGTTATTAAAAACAGTGTGGTATTTACATAAAGCCATGAAGAACGTTGTTAAAAAGTTAATTCTCCACAATGTAGTTTCTCGCCAAGTTTTTTTTTCCATCGTCGTCGAAATGGTTTAACAGAGTGTTGATAAATTTTAAAAATAAAAAAAAAATTTTTAATTATAATACCTTTATTTTTGTAAAGGAATGAATAAATAGCTTCAGATTGATATAATAAATTTATCTTTGATTTTGTTTACCTTTTCACAATCTTGTTTCCATAAAAACACAACAAAAACGTTGTTTTCCTTTCGGTTGACTCGATGGCATGACAAAATTGCGAGTTACACGAATGAATCACAGGAGAATGATAGCATTCAATCAATTTTTATTTATCGACCAAATCGCGGGCCTGGAACGGTGGACACTTCCGTTTCGAGGACGAACCGCACGAGTATGGACCCGTGGGAGGATGGAATTTCGATTTAGCGAACTCCAACGCGCTTGTATCCTGCACGGACTCACGTGCCTTGGACGGCTTTGCCATCCGGCTAACATCAGGCTGGAACGTTCACCCTCGGAAAATTGTTCTCCATTGTACGAGAATGCGATGTCCGACCCCTTCTCGAACGAGTTGCTACAACGCACAACTAGTTCTTTGACTTCGACTATCGCATTGTTGTGAAATCCAACAGCGAAATCCGCTACGAAAGTAGAGGGCTTATAAGTTGATTGCTATATGATTTTATTATGATTTCAACTCGTAACAAGGAATTTCGTAAAAGTCAAACAGCGACAAAGGTATTTCAGAAAAAATGAAATATTTTAGAAAAAAATTATGCTTAAAAGTTATGGCATTTTAAAGAATATAATGTTTAAAAAAATCAAAGATTCTCTCGATATAATATAACGTGAGAACTGCAATATTTCAGATCGTAAAGTGATGGAGATATATTCGTATAATAATTCGAAGATGAGAAAAGTCAGCATGTTTACATAGAACAGAGACTACTTGAGGAAACGGGAAAATTATTCATTGGCACTGACGTCAAGTTAAAAGGAAAACGCGAGAAAATGTTCATTCGATAGTACTATGATGGACTGAAGTTCCTCTTAGGATAGCGAATTAGAATACATTTTTCTTAAACTCGTAAACATGCCAGAAGGGCGTTAAAGCGTACACGCGCATGGAAATGGAAGGGAAATATTTTTGGTTATATTTTCGAGCGATTTCATGGTTGAGAATATTGTATATATCTCAAGTGGCGATCGTGCCTGTGTTAGTACAGGAGCTTGTTCATGTACGAGAATTTATATCGTATTCTCTGTAATACAAGCAGCAGTTTTTGCAAACATACATATTCCATTAAATAAAGCTTTAACTTTTCTTAGAAGCAGTTTTATGTATGATGTAGTGAGTGAAATTTATATCTAAGGAGAATTTCAAAATTGTTTCGAAAAAAGAAAGGAACCCATCATCGACGAAATGTAGGAAAGGTCTTTATTTAAAATGACTTTGAGAAATTATTGTGAAAAGTTAATTAAAACTCTGGGGCATAAAAATTTCGGAGCAACGTTTATATTTCCTTCTTTCAAAGATAATTATCGTTACTTATTATAATTAGTAAGTAAATATTGAACCATGTGCTAGATTTTCTTCCTTCTCTTTTGATGACGATATCGTTATTAATTTTTTTACATATCATCAAAAAGAATTTTCGTCAAGGAACGAATCGTTCGACGACGATGTCGCGATGTCAATGCGAAATTATTATAAGTCGGAGCACTATGAATTTACTTTGAGAGGCAATTTTTCAGATCGGGCGAGACTCGAGTATGGCAGAAAAATGAAAACGGAAAAGACTGAAGAAAAACGTGAAGTCGTTTCAACGCTTCATCTTTGCCCTTCGCCTCACTCTTGGAAAGAGGAATAAATTTGGTACCATTCTTTCTTTTTCTTCCCTCTAATAAGATCGCATTTACTCAAATCTCTTTTTTTCGTTTCAACTGTCACGAAACTTTTCATCATAATGTCGTTTGGTATTGTCGGACGGCATTATTATAACTCGGCGGGCTATGAATTTATTATGAGAAAGATAATACTACTGTGGTATAGACATACGAAACTTTGACATTAAAAGAGACCGAAGATCGAGAACGAAAGAGAAGGTTGAGAGAAAATAAAGTGTCGCTCGGTAGCCGACGTAAAATTTCGTCGATGGCCGATTTCTTCTAGCTCTCTTGGAATATGGGTGACTCGATACGACAGAAGCAGGGAGGTTTCGAGGTGACGGTTATCGCAAGTTTTGTCGAAGTTTCCTACTGAAGGAAAAGAAAGAGAGAGAGAGCAAAGAAATAAAAGCGAAGATGAAAAGCAGCCGATCGCGTATCGCCAAGTGAAAAAAGTTCCCACGTCCGAGATTCAGAACGCGTGGCGACATGTGGGGTGTAACTCGGATAGTGATGTCTATCGATTACTCTCGTCGAATAATTCTCCAAAAAGTCACGCGAAGAATAAGCATAAGAATAACTTGATTATTCTAAAATAAAATTCTAAAATTTAATTGAGATTGTAGAAATATGGATCACGAAAATTTTGAGGATATACACGATAGTTGGTAAAAATTGTTATTTATTTTATATAAGTCAGATCACTTTTATTAAATTATCGTAAAGAAATAGCGTAAACATAAAATTATCATTAAAAAATATTTTTATTGTATTTTTATTAACATCAATTTTATTTTATCACGCAATAAAAGCAACGACATGTATTTCAATCTATAAATATTTTAATATTTTAATATTATTTTAATATTATTTAATATTTAATTTATTTTCATATTATGTAATGAATATCGCACAATTCCATTCTTTATCCGTTAATCGATGAGACTAATAATGCATGATAAAATTAGTGAGAAAGGAGTTTTAAATTCGAGGGGCAGAATATGTTGCGAAATTCGATAAAACATGCCATATGTAGGCGTCAGGAATGTACAACAACGAATGTTATTGATACTAATTGATCGATTAATTAGTTTGTGCATGAGCAAGAGCGATCATAATTAATGCAATCAGAAATCCACGGGCGGTATAATCTATCGAGTGTCTATTAGCTTTGCGTGCGAATCTATTCAGCATCGCTTCATAGAGATTAGAATAGTATACGGTGATTATCGATACGAAGCGAAATAACGCGTGAGTAATTAAAAATCATGTATTGTGATACATCGCGAGCGGTAATTGCCAAATTGACGTACGAGCGACGCCATTTCCTTTTTGCGCGGAAACACGACGTCATTGTTCCGATACCAATCTCGATCGAAATCGAGCAACGATAAATCCGCTAAACTAGTCACCAGACATCCCATTTTCCAGCTTCCAAGCTCTCTTTTTCAAAGCAAAAGTTCGCGCCAATACCTTCTCGTTTTTAATCAGAACGTCTTCTTTTTCCTGCAATATTCAATAAAGATAATTTTGAGTGAAATATCGACAGCAAATCGTATTCGATGTAGTTCGCAAATAAATTAATTTCCTGCATTATTGTTGTATTGTGAATTTTTCTCAGAAAATGTAAAAAAAATTGACGGTATGGCAATCAGAAGAAAATATATTCTCTGTTAAGCATATGTCGCGTGATCCTGTGCTAAACTCTTACCGCGTTTGCTATATATCTCTCGAGCGTAGCTAAATCGACTTATCGACACCGTCGTATTAATCAAGGCATTAAACCTTGGCCGCGTTATACGTCGCTTCCGCGAGACGTAAAATCGTATACCTCCTCTGATTGGTTTCCCAGCGCCGTTAGACTTCGCCGAAGTGCTCGTAAATGATTAAACTACGAGACTCTACATTATTCCGGCGATTAACGAACCAGCCGCCGCCAATTAGAACCGATCGTTCGGTGGTGCATTACGAAATCGCGCACTAGGTTTAACGCTTCCGTTAAAACGAACGAGGCTAGACGGAGATCTATTATTCCGGAGACGAACGAGACGTGCCGAAATCCAGCGTGATGAAAAACGGTAATCCGCGCGCTGTGCCCAAACGTGAGCCGGAAACTGAACGGAGACTTTGCCGATCCCGCCGTGCAATCGCGGGCCTGATCCCCTAGTTCCTTCCTATTAATTCAATT